CTTCTTTTTTCCAATTTGAATGCCTTTATTTCTTCTTTTTTTTCTGATTGCTGTGGCTAGGACTTCCAGTACTATGTTGAATAAGAGAGGTGAAAGTGGACATCCCTGTCTTGTTCCCTATCTTATGGGGAACACTTGTAATTTTTGCCCATTGAGTATGATGCTGGCAGTGGGTTTGTCATATATGGCCTTTATTATGTTTAGGTATGTTCTCTCCGATCACACTTTGCTTAGAGTTTGTTTTTTTTTAATCAGAAATTGGTGCTGTATTTTACCAAATACTTTTTTTGCATCTATTGATATATCCATGTGGTTCTTATCCTTCATTTTGTTTATGTGGTGAATCACATTAATTGATTTGCGAATGTTGTACCAACTTTGCATTCCCAGAGTAAGTCCCACTTGATCATTGTGTATGATTGCTGTATTAGGTTTGATAATATTTTGTTGAAGATTTTAGCATGTATGTTCGGCAGAGATATTGGCCTGTAACTTTCTTTCTTTGTATGTCTATCTGATTTTTGAATTAGGATAAGGCTGGTCTCATAAAATGAGTTTGGGAGGCTTCTCTCCTCTTGAATTTTATAAAATAGTTTGAGATGGATAGGTGTTAATTCTTCTCGAAATGTTTGGTAAAACACCCCTGTGAAGCCATCCAGTCCAGGGCTTTTGTGTGTTGGGAGTTTTTTGATTACTGCTTCAGTTTCTGTAGGTATAATCTGTTCAGACTCTCTGATTCTTCCTGATTTAGTTTTGGAAGATTATATGTTTTCTAGGAATTTATCCATTTCATCCAGGTTATCCAGTTTGTTGGCATATGGTTGTTCATAGTATTTTCTTATAATCCTCTGTATTTCTTTGGTGTCAGTTACTATTTCTTCTTTCATTTCTGATTTTATTTACTTGGATCTTCTCTCTTTTTTTCTTGAAGAGTCTGGTTAAAGTTTTGTCGATCAGGTTTACTTTTTCAAAGAACCAGCTTCTGGATTCATTGATCTTTTTTATCATTTTTTATACTCTATTTCCCTTATTTGTGCTCTGATCTTTATTATTTCCTTTCTTCTACTCACTTTGGGTTTTTGTTTTTGTTTTTTTTTTTGTTGTTGTTCTTTTTCAAGTTCCTGTAAGTGTAAAATTAAATTTTTGTTTTGAGCTTTTTCTTTTTTAGATAGGCCTGTAATGCTATGAATTTCTTCTCTTAGGATTGCTTTCCCAGTGTCCCACAGATTTTGGATTGTTGTGTCCTCACTTTCATGTGTTTCAAATTATCCTTTGATTTCTTCCTTGATCTCATTGTTGACCCATTCATTGTTTAATATATTATTTAGCTTCTATGTCTTTGTGTGTTTTTCAGTGTTCTTGTGATTGTTTTCTGGTTTCATAGCATTGTGGTCATAGACAGTGCTTGATAATTAAGTCTTCTTAAATTTATCGAGACTTGTTTTGTGTTCTAACATGTGGTTTATCCTAGAAAACGTTCCGTGTGCACTTAAAAACTATGTATATTCTGTTGGGGTTGAAATGCTCTGAAGATATCAATTAAATCCATTTGTTCTAGTGTTTCTCTTAAGGCCACTGTCTCCTTGTTGATTTTCTGTCTGGAAGATGTATCCATTGAATTCAGTGTGGTGTTAAGAACCCTGACCGTGACTTTATTTCTGTTCTCTCCCTTTATGACCAACAAGATTTGCTTCATATATTTAGGTGCTCCTATGTTGGGTATGTAAACGGTTACTAGGGTTATATTCTCTTGTTGGATTGTTCCCTTCATTATGTAGTGTCCTTTGTCCCTTAACTATAGCCTTGGTTTTAAAGTATTTTGTCAGGTATAAGTACTGCTACCCCAGTGTTTTTTTCCTTCCTATTTGCATGAAATACCTTTTTCCATCCCTTTTAGCCTGTGTATATCTTTCGATCTGAGATGTATCTTTTGGAGGGTTTTGTTTTCTTATCTATTCAGCTACCTTGTGTCTCGTGGTTGGAGCATTTAAACCATTTACATTTAAGGTGATTATTAATAGATAACGTATTAGTGCCATTTTATTGTTAGACTATTTTCCTCTGCTTTTTCCTTTTTTTTCTTTCTCTTTTTCCCTCTCCTTCTTGAACAAGCCCTTTAACATTTGTTACAGTACCGGTTTGGTGTTAACAAACTCCTTTAGCTTTTTCCTGTCCTTATTTCTCTTTCAGCTTTAAGTGATAGCCTTGCTGGGTAAAGTAGCCTTTATTGTAGGTCCTTGCTTTTCATCACCTTGAATATTTCATGCCACTCCTTTCTGGCCTGAAATGTTTCTGTTGAGAAATCAGATGATAGTCTAATTGGTGCCCTCTTGTATGTAACTACCTGGTTTTCTCTTGCGGCTTTTAGGATTCTCTCCTTGTCTTTAAAGCCTTCTCATTTTAATTATGATGTGTCTTGGTGTAGGCCTCTTTAGATCCAACTTGTTTGGGACTCTCTGAGCTTCCTGGACATATGTGTCTTTTTTCTTCACCAGATTACTGAAGTTTTCAGTCATTATTTCTTAGAATAGGTTCTTGATCCTTTGCTCACTCTTTTCTCTTTGTGATGTTCCCATGATGCAGATGTTGTTACGATTCATGTTGTCCAAAATGTTTCTTAAGCTCCTTATTTTTTTAGAATTCTTTTTTCTTTTTGCTGCCCTGCCTGATTGTTCTTTTCTACCTTGTTTTTCAAGTCACTGATTTGGTCCTCTGCTTCATCTAACCTACTGTTATTCCTTCCAGTGTATTGCTTATTTCAGATACTGCATTCTTCATTTCTGACCAGTCCTTTTTTATGGTTTCTTTGTCATTTTTCATGCTGTTGAGCATCCTTACAATCATTATGCTAAACTCTCTATATGATAAATTGCTTACCTCAATTTCATCTAGCTCTTCACCTGGAGAATTATCTTGTTCTTTCACTTGGGGTCTAATTCTTTGTCTTCGCATTTTGGCTGCTTCTTTGTATTTATATCTATGTAGAAAGTAGATCTGCAGAGACTCCGGTGCAGCCCTTTGTCAGATGCTGCTTTTGACTGGCTCTGGTCAACCTCTTTGGAGCTTTCAGCCTGTGGCTCCCTCTGCTGGTCTTGTGTGTTTGCAGAAAGAGCCAGGCTGTATACCAAGGGTGGCTTTCATCAGTACTGGGCCTGGAGGAGGGTCAGCTGAAGTCTCATAAAGCTCTCAGAGCTCACCTTAGTTATTAAACTAATCAGTCATGTGGTCAAAATCTATACTCAGAAGGTTAAGCACCACAGGTTGGGGCAGAGTAATTCATATGGGTGGGACTATTGCTTCCCTCAGGCTGATGCCACTTGGAGGGGAGAGCTCTGCCTGAGAGAGATGGCTCCTATTGTATGGGGAATGGCTGAGCACTGGGGTCCTGGCAGCTGTTACTTCAGTTCTTTCCCCTGAGCCACCAACCCCAGACTCTCTCAAGTGTTTCTAGTCCACTCTGCCTGCCCTCTGCCAGCAGGGTAAATGCCTGCGAATGAAATTTTGTGTGTTGGTCCTTTAAGAGGCTCTCCGAGTTTCCTGTCATTTCACCCTGGCAGATAGAAACCGTGCTGCTTTTCGCAGCTGGATGTTGTCTGGGTTTCTTTCCAGCTGTGGTGGTGTAGGCTGGGGAGCCCTGCTTAGGGTTTAGACCCCATACTTCTCAGAGGGAACCCCCTGGCTACTGAAATATCCCTCTGGATCTTCAGCTGCCACCCATCAGAGCCCAGCCAGCCCTTGTGTCTCCTCTGTACTACCTACCAGTCATATTACAGTGTTTTCTTTTGTCTGTCCATGTGTTTTCTTCTGTCTGTCCATGGTTATAAGGCTTCTCTCAGCTAGTGTTCAGTTGGTTATTCAGGATGATTTCTCCACAATTCAGTTGTATTTCCCGATTGGTAATGGCAGGAGATTAGTGTAGCTTCCAGTTACTCCTCTGCCATCTTGGGTCTCTAAAACAGTTTTGATTATTTACTTAGTCTGTGTTAAGAGATATGGTTCATCTAAATTCAAGCTGTTAACAGTGGTGTCTGTCAGGAAGCTATCATTTTCAAGTACTAGAATATCAAATGATAGTAGTTAACAATTAACACAGTTTTCACATAAGATTTTCAGAGACACAGGTAGTTCTAGGATGGATAACAGCAACTGCACATTGCCATCAACAGCTCAGGCTGTTTACATCTTTCTGCCTTGCTTTCTTTATTGTGTGAATGATACATCTATCTCCTCCTAATTTCAGTGTGGCTGCTGCACAGTCCAGCACTGTTCTTTCACCACGCTGAGTCTCCTAGGAGTAGAAAAGGAAGTTGGGACAAAAGGGCTAATTCTCTAAGAAACTTGGTCTTTTATTAGAAGATGAAAATCTTTCTCAGAGGCTTCCAGTAGGTCTTCCATATGTCTCATTGGCTAGGCCAAGGTAACATTCTCATCCCTAGCTAGTACATCACCAACAAAGAGAAATGGCATTGACGTAATTGGCTTAGGACAATCATATTCATCTGTTGGGATGGGCATACTGATCTCTAATCAAAATTGGTGACCATTAGCAAGTTAGAAGTTCTGTTAACTCAGTAGAATTTTCTATTGAGTTAATTCTTATATTACCAGTAGTTTTTATTTCTGAATAGAACCTAATTAATAAAACTGTGCTTTAATGAAAGATAGATTTTCTTTTGGGGAAAGGAATCTGGGTATTGCATACTTTTGATGATGTATGCTCAACTGTTGCAATGAGGCAGCAAGTGGAATTAAGGAAGAAATAAATAATTTTTTTCTTCCTTTTGAAAAGGACCTTTAAATTTTTATTTTTTAATTGAATTTATTGGGATGACATTTGTTAATAAAATTATATAGGTTTCAGGTATACAATTTTGTAAGACATCATCTGTATATTGTATTGTGTGTTTACCACCCCAAGTGAAATTTTTTTTTGCTAAGGAATAAATGTATGAATCAGAATAATTAGACTAATGTGAGTTTGTTTTTGTTTGTTTGTTTAGTCAGAATCTGGAGAAGTGAATAGAAACACAGAACTGAAGAAACTTCGAATTTTTGGGGCTGGGCCCAAGGTTGTGGGCCTGGCAATGGGCGTAAAAGATAAAGAAGGTAAAATCTGTTACTTGATCATGAAAAGAAATAAGATATAGCAATATGGTTATAGCAAGTTCCAAATGATATTTATATTGCAGCCTGCCTTGGGATTTTCCAAAGACCTGTGAACTTGCAACATGGTTCCTGTACAAGTCACCTTTTCTAATGTTAGGTAATCTTAAATTTAAGGTGTGAGGAACCATATTAGATTGAATTTTTATAATATCTTGAGAGAGAGAAATTTTCCTCCTCCATGTCTAATGGGACCCAGAAATTTATTGTAGTTTCTAAAGGCTGGTTTATGAGAGAATGGTGAAATGAGTTTCTCACTTAGTGATCTAAGTTTTGTAACTTTTAAATTCAAAGAGAAAGAGAGGATTCTCCGGCTTTTAGTATCAAAAGTTAGTGTGGAGGGCTTATGACTTAAATTCTAACTATAATTTTGATATTTTTCTTAGTTGCCATAACATATTATTACACTTCATTTAAATAAACTGTGTTTAGGAAAACCTGGTACTTTCAGCTTAGCATGTTTTGAAACTTTTTGTGAGTAAAATTACTAATGCAGAATCAAGTTCCACTTTCCTCCGTATGTACATGTCAGTTTTAAAACTCAATTTAACAAAGATTGTGTTAGATACGTTTTTCGTGTGTAAGAAATTGATGCAATGCTATAACCACAAGTCATTAACTATACATTTTATGCTATCAGAAACTTAACTCATAATTCAGATTATGGACTGAACTCTGGAGGATCAGATAATACTGTCCCATCATTCTCAAAACATTTAGTGTGATAGGACTTACTAAATACATTATAATGGTTATTATTACCCTTTTAAGAATTAAGCACTTTGATATCTTTTCCATTCCAATAATTATTGTATTGGTTGGCAGTGTCATAAAAGTAGTCTCAAACTAGTCGTTGGTAAGTATCATATACCGTCAGTATAGAATTAGTAGTTAAACTCTCTGGAACTTGATTTGCCTGGATTAGAATCCCAAATCTGCCACTAACTGGCTGTTAGATTTTGGGCAAGTTATCTAACCTTTTTACCTCTGATTCTTTATCTTCAGTGGGGGATATTTCTATCTCATAGTGTTGTGAGACTTTAACTAATTTAAAGAATTTTGAATAGTGTCTGGTCCAGAGTACGCTCTCAACTTTAGTTTTTACTATTATTATATAACTATTTTTATTTTAAGATGAGGTCTCCCGAAGACGAAAAGTTACCAACAGGTCAGAGGCATTTAACATGCAAATGAGACAACGGAAAGGAACTCTCTCTGTTAACTTTGTAAGTGTTCTGAGATGTGTCAGGAGGGAAAGGACTTATTTTTATTTAGTTTTGCACTTTTTATCTTGCTCTCTAGTACCTTGGTATGCCTTTCAGTTTATTCGGTTAGAAGACTTAATGGTGAATCTGAAGTTGCAGCTTTGGTTATATAATGTTAACCTAGCTTTGTACCGTATACGTGGACTGTTCCTCTAAGTTGTAGACCTTGTGAGTAACTGAGAGAATGAATACGAATCTGTAAAATCTTGAGCTATATTATAAATAGTGCTCAGTATTCATTCTCTAACAGAGCATTTGTATATAGAATGGATGACTTGGGATATTTTATCACTATTAATTGACTTTCAAGTACCCTAAAACTTTTTATTCTTATAACTTGATATGTTCTTATTAACTCACCTGTAATAGCTGAGGAAATTTAGGAAGTTTTATAAAAAGCTGTTTTAAGTACATTTATTTAAAGTAAATATTCAGGATTTAAGTTGTATTTACTTTTTAGTGTACATTATTTTGTTTCAGTTAAGGAGTTCCTGGTAAAAATTTAGTATTACTTACTATAGAAAATAGACTTTTATATTACTTTGTTTTTTAACAGGTTGATCTCTATGTTTGTATGTTTTGTGGTCGGGGAAATAATGAAGATAAATTGCTTTTGTGTGATGGATGTGACGATAGCTATCATACCTTTTGTTTAATTCCTCCACTACCTGATGTACCCAAAGGAGATTGGAGATGTCCAAAATGTGTTGCTGAGGTACAGTTTACAGATTCCTTTAAAACTAATAATAAAAACACACATATACACACATACTCTAAACATATTCCCAAAAGCTTTTTTTACTCTTTGTTCTTCAATGTTTAAAATCTCCAGGATGTTAAAAAAATTTTTTTCTTTTTTATCCTCACCCGAGGACATTTTTTCATTGTTATATGGGAGATAGAGAAACATCGATGCGGGAGAGAAGCATCGATTGGTTGCCTCCTGCATGCACCTGAACAGGGAACTGCACTCAGGATTGAACCCACAACCTTTTGGTTATGGGACAACGCTCAAACCAACTGAGCCACACCAGCCAGGGCTAAAATCTCCAGGAATTTTTAAGAGATATATTGAATGGAGCTGTGGAAATTATATTCTGACAGCTTCCCTTTCAAAGTTTCTTTTTCTGACTATGGTTTGGCAATTCTGTTTATTGCTGTAGGTAAATGAGCCTTTTGCTCAGAATGTTCATATTCCTGGAAAACAATAAACATGAAGATAGGTTGTAGGTTATTTATTTTTATTTTTTAATTAAAAATAGTAAAATTCAGACATGAAACTCTAAAACTTAGGCATTATGTATTCACTTTTTGTGCTACCAAATAAACTGATGGTATATGTTAGCTTGTTTATATTTTGGTTTGATTGTATAAATTATTCTTATTGAAAGATTATAATGATGTCATTGTCATGAAATGCCTAGTCTGTTTACTTATTTTAATAAAATGTGATAAGATATTGAAGGAAAGGAGTTGGCCGGGTATCTAGATGTATTCAGAGGTCTTTTATGGCCTTTGAATTATTATTGAATACCTATTGTCAAGGATATATGATTCAGAAGCAGTCCTATCCTTAATGAGTATTTGTGTTAAGATATTTGTCATGGTGATTGATAGTGTGGGAAAACCATTCTTCTAGCTAGATATCTAGCAATCCAGTGTATACACCTTTATCCATTATCTCCTTTCTCCATGAACATTTATATTCTTCATAGCTAGATCCAGTAATATACTGAAAATGATAGGCATCCATAGGCTTGATTATGAGTGATCTTGTACGTGTTTGTCATGGTATCAGAGCTGAATGCCAGCTCCAAAGTTTAAAGGTATCTTATTACCACCTTCCTACTGGAAGACTGAAAAATGCAGTTGAAGTTATAGAACATTATTTCCTAATTCCATACTATAAGTGATTAGTACTTGTTTTGCTGGCTAGGATTCATTGGGTTAGCTTCACTAGGGAATGGTAAAAAAAGGGAGTGCCTGAGAGCTGTAGTGCTTTGTTCTGTTTCAGTGAGTTCATCTTAGATATTTTTTCTCCCCAGGAATGTAATAAACCTCGAGAAGCCTTTGGATTTGAACAGGCTGTGCGAGAGTATTCGCTTCAGAGTTTTGGAGAGATGGCAGATAATTTTAAGTCTGATTATTTCAATATGCCAGTCCATGTGAGTATCTGTCCTTAGGTCTCTCTGGGAAGGTATGAAGTCCAAAGCTTTTAGTTTGCTTTCTACTTAACATTATTTTGTAGAAAACAGGGAAAGCATGAAAAGGTTGATAGACCACTAAATCTAAAGAGTAGGGGCCTGCCATCTGTTTTTATTTCTTTCAGTCTCTAATATGGTGTTCTGTACTTTCCTGTTAAGAAATATACTTTGATCTTTAAATTGTTTATTAACCCCCATGGGTAATCCTTTACAGAAAAGCACAAAGTATATGGCAGTTGCTGCTTTTGTTCAGTGATTTGTAATATGAAGTTTGCTTCTTTTCCAAGGAGCTTCTTAAAATTTCTATTAAAAAAATTTGCCTAAGCTATTAAAATTAAGCCTTGATTTTTGTGTTTCCTTTTTTCCTCCATAATGTCCTAGGTCGTCTTTATCCTTCTTAGTTAAGAAGCAGCTTGCAAAAAAGGCAGTTCAAGTTTATTATGTTTTTATGGACTTCTAAGTTGTCTTTGGCTTTTCCTCATCCTCAGTGGGAAAAAGCTAGGACCCCAGTCTTTTCAGCTGTGGGATAGGATGTTTTCTGTTTTATCGTGGGTTTTTGTTCACTTGACCTGTGTATTAATGTTGTAGTGAATTCTGGTTATAGCGAATTAGTAATATATAATCTTTGTTTTCTTTGTGTAGATGGTTCCCACAGAACTAGTAGAAAAGGAATTCTGGCGGCTGGTGAGCAGCATTGAAGAAGATGTTATTGTAGAATATGGAGCTGATATCTCCTCAAAAGACTTTGGAAGTGGATTTCCTGTAAAGGATGGTCGGAGAAAGATGCTGCCAGAAGAAGAGGTGCAGAACAGATAGTAGTATTTAAACTTTTGCTCACCCCAAACTGATTTAGTATTTGCATAGTAGAAAACTACCTTTCTCATTAATCATAAGGGACCTTGTTTATTTAAAATATTAAACATGTTATATTCAGAGAGTATAATCTTCAGTTTTTAAAAACAAATTCAAAGTATTTTTAAAAACATTTACTGACATATTTACCACTTTTGGTTCTCTTTATTCATTCCCGTGGAACAAAGTTACCATTTAGGGTCATTTTCTTTTGGCCAGGAGGACTGCTTTTATTTGTAGTGCAGGTCTCCCAGCAGTGAATTCTTTCAGCCTTTGCTTATCTGGCAATGTCTTTAGCCTTTTAATTTTTTAAGAGTAAATGCTTCTCAATTTGCTTTATGCTTTTGATCAATTTCTAGTGCCATGAAATGGTGGTTTTGATAATTTTGTCCAAATTTATCCTTGTTTTCTGTGGAGAGGAATTGCCCAACCTCTTCACATTACCATTGCTGAAAGTCCTTTACAATGAAAAGTTTCCCTCCTACCCAGATTTACCGTCTGACAGAGGCAGATTCTATTTCATCTTCTGGTGTATTCTTTCAGATATTTTGTATCTCTACAAGCAATTATATATCACACATACAGAATTACATATTCCTTTTAAAACTTGGAGTGTACTACTTACCTGGTCCTCTACCCCTGTGCCTAACTTACCTATTTTTTTTGAGTCCCTTCATTATACGTCTAGTCCATCTTAACTCTTTATAGTATTACCTACTTAGTTTATTCATGGTATGTCTCATCTTTTGTTATGCTAGCCATGTATTCAGAAATATCTGAGCACTTAATACGTGCAGAACGAAGTTTTTATTTTTTTTGTTTTCTTTATGATCAAAAGTTGTGTCTTCGTGCTTTCTCATTACTTTAGCATTATTTATTTATTTTTGTCCTGTGATGGTAGAACACACAGGTTAAGATAATCAGAATAGACACTAGGTTTTACTAATGGAGAAAGAGAATAATTTCAGTGGATGGAAAACATAGATTATATATGGGTGTTTTTATACAAAGAGTTCAGAGCTGGAATATACAGGTGTTCAACATTACTAAATTAAACCTGGTTTGTATAAGTATAAATAATTGCATCAATCTGAGTTTCTTCATACCTATTAGCAAATGGTAGACAGTTACCTAATTATTCAAAAGAGAATACATTTTATAGCTCTTGCCTTTCTCTGAATTTTTTTGTTCTGAATTTCTAAGTTGTTATCTAGATATTTACATCTTCTAACCTCAGAGATAAAAATCACAGTTTTTAAAGATTATTTTAAATATCAACGCCAAGTAACTAATACTAATAATGTAAATGTTAATTCTTCTTCATGTTTGAGTTTTGTGTGAATATCCATTTATCTATTTCTGCTTTTGCACCATTCACCTTCACTTAAGAATGTGGAGTAATGCTGGGCTTCAAAGACACCATCCATAGTATGAAGAGATAGGTGATACAGCCATTTTTTTTTCTAGACTGGATTGTGGATTTGCTATTTATTTTCTAAGCAATGATGCTTAACTCAGTTCTGTTTTTATGATGAAGATTGAAGTGAGAGAACCCATTTACCACAAAAGGATTGTAAGAATTAACTAAAAAATGTGTATAAAATCGTCACACTTTTTATATTTTATGTCAGTTTGTTACTCTTCTGTGAAGGTGATTCTATCAGAATAATAGATAACTACTAGTTTTTCACAAGAATTATACATTTGTTTTGAACTTATGTATAGGTTAGCATTTTGGTATCTGATAGCATGCTTCTCTGATAATCACGGCACAGTGGAAAAGTACTTTTGAAATTAATGTATTTGTCTTATGAGTACAGTGTGTTCTACAAACAGGGCTTCTGAAGAATACAGATAACATAGAACTTGAAACCTTGAGAACATTGTTTTCCTCTAATCCTCCTTGTTCCATGTTAAATCATTGACTGAATCCTATTAATTCATTTTTCATTATTTTCTGTAGGATTAACCTCTTTTTGCTCCCACTATTACTCTCCTCGTCTTGTTCCTATCACATCATGCTGGGATGGTTGCCATGGTCTTACATAATAAACACGTGTTGGGGATCCCCAAGACCATCTCCAGGTTTAGTGATTTTCTGGGAGGACTCATGGCTATGATTTATTACAGTGAAGGGGTACAAGGGAAATCAGCAAAGGGAAAAGATGCATGGACAAAGTCCAGAGAAAACCAGGTATAAGCTTTCAAGAGTTCTCTCCCAGTGGCGTCACACAGGATGCACTTAGTTATTTCAGTATCAGATCTACAATGAGTGAAGTGTTACCTACCAGGAAGCTCATTAGAGATAGTGCTCACGATATTTATTGGGGGCTGGTGACATAGGTACCCTCTGCCCAACATATACCCAAATTCCAGACTGCTGGAAGGAAAACAAGTGTGTATAAACCACGTTGTACAGTTTAGACCCTGTGAGCCACTTGATTAGAGTAAGGAGCTATTTATCATGCGAGTTTCCAGATGCCCGCCAAGGGCCAAACTTTAAGTAGGCCTTTGAGGGACAGCAGTTGTAGTCTGCTATATTAACTTTTTTGCTTACTGCTTCTCTCTGCAGTCTTTCCCATGTTTTTATTTCGCTTAAAATTTTTAGATTAATAGGTCTTTGGGAGTTCATTATCTAAATCTGTCTACTTTTGTTAATATTGAAGTTTCCATAATCAAAAGTTTAAAATATTTAAGATGCATTTGTTTTTCCCTTTTGATGTAAGATTAAATCAGGCTTTTTAGTTTGAAACAATATAAAGATATAATCTTTTTTTCTAGTCTTAATTCCTGTATTATTGAGTATGACTATTCTACTCTGCCCCTTCATCAGCTAGACCACTATACTTTTTCTGTCATTTACTTTCAAATCTTTTCTATCCTTTCTAACTCTACCCAGGTTCTTCATTTTCAATGAACTTTTCTTTACAATCCCAACCCATGATGATTACTATTTTGCTGACCTCAAAAGAACTATAGAATTTACTCCTTTGTCTGTATTTGGAGTTTAATATATATTGCTTTGTCTTAGAATTTTTGTATATCTTACATCTTCAACTCGATTCATTTTTTTCAGCCAATCAGCTAATCAACTAAAAAATGTATTGAATAGTATTTTTTGACAGCCTCTTCATTTTTAAGCCCTTTGAGGATAAGAATCATATCTCTTTATTATTTTTTTATTGGAATTCCTAGTTAAAGTTATGTTGAACTTTATTTTATCCTCTTGTGACTTTTTTTCTTTAAATCCTCACTCAAGGATATTTTTATTGATTTTTTTTTTTTTTTTAAGGGAGAGAGGAATGGGTGGATTGAACCTGCAACCTTTTTGGTGTAGGGGGACACTCCAACCAAGCCACTGAGCCAGGGCTCTGTGACTCTTCATTGTACTTTTATAATTTTAATTTCTGTGCTACATTATGGGTGATACCATCAAATATGCCTAGTTCACAGATTCTCTTTTCAGTTTTGTCACTTGTTTGTCTAACCTCTTATGTTGAAGGTTTTATTTTTAAACCCTATATTGTAGAAAGTCTCAAGTGTGTAAAAATAAACCTAATAATACACTTACCTTCCTCCCTCAGTGCCTGTCATCCAGGTTCAACAGTTAATCAGCCTTCCAGTGGAAGGCAGTTGGATTGTTATGTTTCTGTATTCAGTCATTTTGATATCACATATCACATATCCTTTAGAAAACTCATACTACACTCCTGCAAGAATGATAGTGAAAAAGGCAAATAACATCTTAGAATTATTATGAAAATAGTTTGCAGATCCCCTGAAATAGTCTGGGGCTTCCTAGAGCCCACTTTGAGAACTGCTCTTTACAAGGATTAGAACTTTTAAGTCTCTATCTCATCTGGCTTTAGGGGTGAGCATTTGATACTCAGTGTCCAGTGCTTATATTTAGTTAGCAACCTCTATGAAAACTCAGACAGCTGCTTTTATTCTGGCTTTGCTTCCTTTCTTTTTTCCTGGAAACTGGGGATCCTTTTCTGTTTTGAGTTCATCTAGGAAACAAATGTTTTTGTTATTATAATTTATCTAATATTTCTAGATGAGTTTGTAATGGGATTGGTGGTGCTTACTTTTTTCTGCATCATCTCAGTTTTCAGTGTTGCCACAAATTCAGGATTGTGTATCTTTTTATGTCTTCGTTATATAGCACCATTCTAAGAGTACAGTGATAGACATATTGGGAAATTACGCTACTGGCAATAAAAGCAGAACTATAATAGTAATCTATTAAAATGAGTCTCACAGTATTTTACTGGTAGTCTGGGTGGAGTAGTAAAAAGCCTTGTTCATATTCTTCAGAATAAACCAGAGATATCTGAAATAGTTAAAGGGAAATCTAAATACCACCCAAATAAAAAGATAGGATTAAATATTTAGGTATAGAAAAGAGTACAGATTCTGTGGACTAGCTTACTATAAACATAAAATTTGTACTTCTTTTTTTAAAGACTCTCTTGAGATTTCTTTTTGGCACTGGTCATTTCTGATCTCTCATTGACATTTTTTTTTCTCTATAGGAATATGCGCTTTCTGGTTGGAACTTGAATAACATGCCTGTCCTCGAGCAGTCTGTTCTTGCACATATTAACGTAGACATTTCTGGTATGAAAGTACCATGGCTCTATGTGGGAATGTGTTTCTCTTCTTTTTGCTGGCACATTGAAGATCACTGGAGTTATTCCATCAATTACTTGCACTGGTAGGTAAAATCTTTATTAACAGCACGAAAATATAATAAGATTTTTAAAAGTTTAATAATATTAGATGATATATTAGGGTGAGCTGAATTTAAAGTATTTCCTATCCAAAATAGGATAATATATTAAGGAAGAGAAATGTAGTGGTGTAAGGATACAATATCTCGGACACCTTTCTTTTTAAAGTATGTGTATGCTTAGAGCTTAGAGTTTTAGACCAAATAATACTGCTTTGGCATATCTTTTGATATGCCAGGAAGGATGTTTAAAGTTTATATACTTTAAACTTTCTGTTTAAGATCTGACTAAACCTTCTGTATATCAAATTTTCAAATGATTTTACCTTTTAAATAACATTTTCCCTAAAAACACCTATGTTACATGTACATTCATTACTGGTAAGTTCTTTTGCAGAATTTATTAGATTCTCAACTGCAGCTTACCTGGTTTCTTGACCGGTATTATGATCCTAACTAAAACGTATTTTTCTCTCTGTTTGGAAACCTCTATTCAGATTACACTGTGCAGTGGAAAACTAGTGATTTTCATTCTCTACTTGATCACTATGCTGTGTAATGTGATAACCCTCTAGCCACATATGGCTATTTAAGTTAGCTAAGATTAAGGAAAATTAAAAATTTACTTCCTCAGTTGCACTAACCACATTTCAAGTGCTTTATAGTCACATGTAAGTAGGGGCTCCTGGATTAGCCAGTACAGTTATAGGACTGTGGGGTAATTTAGGATGTGGCCACTCCATGACCTAAGGAGGCTGCCTGGCCAGCAACCATAAGGAATGAAAAAAACCAGTCTATATCTGGATGTCCTAGCCCTTTCAAGGCCTGTGTGTCTCTAGACACCTGTGTTTATCATGAAAGTGTGTAGAATTTTCACACACTACTTCCTCCCTAAGCCTGTAAGTAAGTCCCAAGGGTGGAGGTAGGATGCGGTCTTTCTCACACCAATCAGCCGCCATTGGTGTACTCTCCTGTAATGTAAATAATAAATGACATGTCCATATCTCCCGGTCCTCTGGGTGGTTTTTTTTGCATTATCACAAAACACTTACACAGCTTCCTGGCTAGGAGATTTTGTGTCATAGTTGGCATCATGAACATGGTACTCCAGAAAGCACCCCTGTTGAGTTGACTGAGAGTGCCAACATGCTGAGTGGTGGAGGTCACTAAGGGGAATGCTGGGGGCAGTGCTGGAGAGGTTGGCAGGGGTATTTCAGAAGTAGCCCATGGAGAAGTCACTGAGGGGAATCCCAGGGCGGTCCACTGGTTTATTGTGGTATGAGGTGACAAGTCTATTTGATTCCTGGGACCCTCCTCCAGATTGGAGGGACACCCAGACACTTCCTTGGGTTGTGTAGAACTTTTAAAGTTGGAACGCTGCTATTGGAAAAGTAAAAAAAAAATACACTGCAGTGGTAACAGTGGGTTGGCCCCTACTGCATGCTTTGTGTAAGTGCACTACCAAGCAGCTGGCAGCTGAAGGGAAAGTACGGTGGTTAGAAGATGAGCTTAACTTGAAAAGAAAAATGAGGAAATAAAATTCTAAGGCTAGTCTCAGTCTCTCCTTGAAACTTTGCCTTTGCTTTAGGTACTGTTCTTGTTTCTGTTGTGAAAGGAACTGCTTGGTTTCAATCTTGAATGTTTTGCCAAAGCACTGATAAATGGGATACAATCTCTTGTATACAATCTTTCATGTTGTTACATCATAAAAATTTTACTCAAAAAATTTAAATTGATGGTTTAAACAAGGAAAGGAATCTCACAGTCCTCTCAGACAATAAAACTCAGGGGGAAAAAATGAGTCTTTTAAATACTCTGAATTCTCCTTCTGGAGGCTGAGGAGCTGTGGTCCCAGGAACAAGCCCGAAGTTGATCTCTCCTTTGCCTCTTCTTCAGCTTCTGTAGAAGTTGTAAAGAACACTAATAATAAAACAGCTCACTTCTCAGTACACTAAAGGAATTCAGTAATCACCAAAAATAAGAATATAAATATAATTGCCAATAAAAATACAACTTTCTGAAAATTAAAAAATATATTATTTGTCAGTCTAAAAGAATACTAATTACTTTTGTCACTAAAAATTAAGTTCTAATTAAGTTTTAAAAATATATTGTTTTAATAAAAATATAAATTATGATACTATATTTTTAAAAATAAAATTTAAAATGTTCTAATTTCTGAATGAGTTAAAAGAGGCAAACTAAAAGGATCTAAAAAAGTTACTGAAACATCATATACACAAAAAAAGTAAAAAAAAAAAATCATTTACTTTATCTCTTCCTTTTCAAAGGTGATTTTAGTTTTGGGAAAAGCCAGAAGTTGCAGGGCACCAAATCTGAACTGCAGGTGGGCTGAATCTTCTGGTTGATTTGATGTTTCACCAAAAAACTGTAGGAGATGTGAATGCATAAGTGGGTATGTTGTGATGAAGCTGCCAGTCACCAGTTGCCCATAGCTGTGGCCGCCTGAATCATCCAAATACTTTCTGTGGAGCAATGTTTAAGCTTAACACAAAATTTAATGTAGACTCCTTGCTCTACTTGCTCAGTCATTTTGAATGCGACAGCCACACAGTATGCATGCTTACTCAATGGTGTCTACTGGCCCCACTGACTAGTACAGTGAAGTTCTCATTGTTCACACATGGGCATTCCAGTCCATTGTCCTTGGCTGCCAGTTTACATCAATGTTGCACAAACCATTCTTGTTATTTTAACAATGGCTGGACTTTTCCATACAGACCTTATATATTACCTGTAATATGTTTTCTGCCTCCAAGTTGCATAAATAGTGTATAATATTTTTTTGGTTTACAAAAATAAACATATGTAAATTAAACAAAATCCTGTGGCTGGGACAAATTATTTGATATAAAAACCAATTTTAAGTTTAAAGAATGTCTTTTATTATCATTACCATAAAAAAGTTATTTTACAAAAAGTTTGTTATATTCTTTTGGTTAAGTTTATTGACACCCTTCCCAAAGTTCAAATTTAAAATACTTTCTAACTGAGACATGACTTTAAATTACTCCAGTGGGTCCCTGGAATACTTTAATTAATTATTCTCCTTCTTTTGTAAAAGAAAAGTTTTCAAGTTAATCAGGCCTATTTAATATACTTAAAGTCCTTAAAAACTGTCAAGTAAAAAATATATTCTGTTTACATACACATTCTGATTAAAACAGATATTCTAGAAATCACACAAATTCTAAGATACTTTCATTTATATTTTAATTTTTACCTTAAAATATTATTACAGAAAAACAAATTCCTTTGTCAGTTATGTTATTTCTAGGATATGGCTTTAATTTTTTAAAATTATTCAAATAGCTACAAATATTTTTAAATTTTATTTTAGTATAATTTACTGATAATGCTATTGAGGTCCCAATTTTGTTCCCTTTGCTCCCTTCCACTCGGTATCCCCCTTACTTCCAGCAGTCTCCACCCTTAGTTCATGTCCAGGGTTGTGCATATAAGTTCTTTGGCTTCTCCATTTCCTATACTGTTTTTAACATGCCCCTGTCTATTTTGTACCTACCATTTTGTACTTCTTAATTACTGCAACTTTTTCCCCCATTTTGTCCCTTCCCCATCCCAGCTGATAACCCTCCAAATGATCTCCATATCTATGAATCTGTTCCTGTTCTGGTGGTTTGCTTAGTTTGTTTTTGTTTTTTTAGATTCAGTTTATAATTGTGAGTTTGTTGTCATTTTAATGTTCATAGTTTTGATCTTTTTCTTAAATAAGTTCCTTTAACATTTCATATAATAATGGCTTGGTGATGATGAATCCCATTAGCTTTACCTTACATGGGAAGCACTTTTCTGCCCTTCCATTCTAAAGGATAGATAGCTTTGCTGGATAGAGGCATTTTGGTTGTAGGTCCTTGCTTTTCGTCACTTTGGATACTTCTTGCCAGTCCCTTCTTGCCTGCAAAGTTTCTTTTGAGAAATCAGCGGATAGTCTTAGGGATCTCCTTTGTAGGTTACTCTCTGCTTTTGTATTGCTGCTTTTAAGATTCTCTTTAACCTTTGGCATTTTAACTGTGACATGTCTTGGTGTGGTCCTCCTTGGGGCCAACATGTTTGGAACTCTGTGCTTCCTGGGCTTGAATGTCTATTTCCTTTGCCAAATTAGAGGAGTTTTTTTTTTATTATTATTTTTTCAAATAAGTTTTCAATTTCTTGCTCTTCTTCTCTCCCTGTACCCCTATGATTCGGATGTTGGTACATTTAAAGTTGTCCCAGAGGCTCCTAAGCTTCTCAATTTTTTGAATTCCTGTTTCTTCTTTCTCTTCTGGTTTAATGTTTATTTCTTCCTTTTGCTTTAAATCATTGAGTTGAATCCCAGCTTCGTTCCCTTCATTGTTGATTCCCTGTATGTTTTTCTTTATTTCACTTAGTGTATCCTTCATTTCTTCCTTCATTTTATGGCCATACTCAGTGAGTTCTCTGAGCATACTGATCGCCACTGTTTTGAACTCTGCATCTGATAGGTTAGCTATCTCCGTTTTGTTTAGTTCTTTTTCTGGGGATTTGTTCTGTTCTTTCATTTAGACCATATTTCTTTGCCTCCTCAATTTGGCAGCCTCCTTGTGTTTGTTTCTGTGTACTAGGAAGAGCTGCTTTTCCTCCCTGCCTTAGTAGCATGGCCTATGTAGAAAAGGCACCTGTAAATTGTGTGGGGCAGAGCCTTAGGTAACTGCCAGAGTGGGGCAACCCCTTTAACCACATTATGGCTCTGTGTGGTGGGGGGAGGCTTGGAGAAGGGACAGTCCTGGTGCCTGGCTTCTGGGGCCTACCAGGCACTCACCCTGCTTCCAGGCACCTCACCCACCTCCCATGCATTTGGCATCCTTCCAGTTGTTGCTCTTGGGTTTGTCTATGTTTTAATCCCACATGGGCTCTTTAAGCTGTGAAAATCCAGCAGTTTCTTCTGCTTCCCTAGCTGCGATTGGTTTTTATAGCCAGAGATAATTGGGGTTTTTCTTCCTGGTGCTGGAAGCCTGGACTGTGCTGTCTGTCCTGGGCTGGGATCACTCGCTCCCCAAGGTATCCTTCCTGATTTTTATCCACCACACGTGAAGGTGAGATTGGCTGTTCCGCTGGCACTGCTTTGGTTTCTCTATGCCACACTGTCTCCGCCCTGTCTCCACGACTGCCTCTCCTACGCATCTGGATAAATGTGGCTTCTTTAAATCCTTGGTTGTCAGACTTCCCATATGCTCAGTTGTCTGGTGGTCCTGGGTGTTGTTTTGAGATCTGGTTGTAATTCTTTCTGTGATTGCATGAGGAGGTGAAGTGTGTCTACCTACACCTCCATCTTGACAAGAAGTCCTGTCAGTTATGTTACCAAATCTTTAACCAGATTGTTTTAATATTTGTTATTTACAAACAGCCATTGTTTTACTCTAATACATTTACAATATATTATGTCTTTGGAGGGGTTCATGGAGAGGACTCTGACTCGTTTTGAATTTCATATGTCTGAAAATGGATTTTCGAATCATACCATTAAACTGAACAAAAATTGCTAAGATTCTGTAAAATAACTATTTATAGACATGCTTCTCAGTAATCAGGATAGAGAAAAATTAATTATAGAACATAATAAAAGTTTTTGTGACTTTTATAACTTTTGTTAAAAATATTACTAATTTTTAATCTTTTGTTTTTCAGACATAAGAAAACTTATTTTCCTAAAACAAATTGATAAATTATAGTTTCATAAACAATATTAAAATATTTTTCTTCATGCCTGATCCCTCAGAAATTTAGAAACTCTTAACAAATAAGTATTATTCTTTCTATGACAATATATTTACAGAAATCCAGTAAAAATCTGATGTCTTCATAATAGGACACCTAAAACTGGTTTCCAGTTATAGTTTTATTAACCATGTCTTTGAAATGCCATGATCAGAAAAATGCATGGGCTCTGATGCTTACCTGGGAAAATGGAAAACAAAAAACAAAAAACCTCCAAATAATTTGGGAACCTCACAAACTTGAAGAATTCACCCATATCTGTAAATATTGCAGATAAAGCCTGACAGCAACTTTGTATAACATTCCAACAAAGTAAATTTTAAAATACCTGTGTAATCAATTACTGTTCCTATTGTGTTTATACAAATAATCAGGCAAAATTAAAACTGGACTTAATACAGTAAATGAATTAACCTTAATTTGATTCGCTAATAAAATAATTAAAAATTATGTTTCAATAAAATCTATTATACACAATTATAAAAATTAGACTTCAATAAATTGTCAACAAAACTTTATTTTTCACCTATAAGCTAGGGTGGATCCTGCATTTTTCTAGTTTTCTTTCCAAAAACATTTAAACTACAGATAGAGACAGTCTATCAAATTTTCACTACTTAATTTCATTTCAGCAAAAACTTTGATTTGGAAGTCTTCTCATCTGTCACTTACAAACTCAGAAACTGGTTTGTAATTTATTACGTTCATTAACCTTTGTGTTCTTTCTGTTTTCATACCTGATTACTTGTTTACACAGTATATGTCTTACTTTAAAAGCCCATCTACATCGCTCAGTGGTTTAGCTAAGTAGACTTATTATCAAAACTAAATAATTAAATTAAGTACCACAATTCCATATCAAGATAATACTTTGGGAATTCCAGCCTATTCCTGCTTTGGAAAAATCAGCTAACAGTTTCTCTTTTCCAGTCTCAAATCCTAGTCCCTTGTTTTTCTTTAATCAGGCAAAAAAAAACAAACAAACCCAAAAACCAAAAAAAAAACACCCCAGCAACAAATCTTCCCAACCCTACATAGGCAGGGACCTGGTTTGTCTATCCATATCTTATAAGACAAAAGTCATGTCCTCCTTGACATTCTTGGCCTCTGCCTTTTTCTCCTCCTCTTGGGGTATATATAGCCTATACTATATTTATGGCATATAAATGCAGTATACCAACACTCACCAGTGAGGGACTCTATGCTTGGAAAAACTAACACAAAAATTATAAGGTGAAAAAAACAATATCAGAACAGAGCATGGAACAACTCAGGGCATGGCCTCTCTACAACCTTAGAGAATAGCTGTGGTAGCCCTAAGGAATGAAAAAAAACAGTCTGTGTCTGGATGTCTCAGCCCTCTCAAGGCTTGTGTGTCTCAAGACTCTTGTTTATCATGAAAATGTAGAATTTTCACATGCTAACCCCTTCCTAACCCTATAAATAACACCAAGGCTGGAGGTGAGGCACGGTCTCTCTACCATCTGCTGCAATGGATGTACTCCCCTGTAATGTAAATAATAAATGACATGTCCACATCTGCTGGTCCTCCGGGTGTTTTGTTTTTTTTTTGGAATATCACAAACACTTAAACACTTCCCTGGCGTGGAGCTCCTGCATTAGAAGAATATTTTCATCATCACAGTAAATTCTATTAGAAATGGCACTGTGAATTGGATTAGGATTAAGAAATTGAGGTATTCTATAAATAACTTGAGTAATTAAATCCATTTCCTAGGAATACACCTTGGCATTATAAATGAACTCTAGTGCACTAAAATCTAGTTCATTAATGATATCAAGTTTTTGGTCCTTAAGATTTATAGCTAGAACTCTATTCAAGGTTTCAACGATTTCTAGCCTTGGCTTATTTTTTTGGATAGTAAAATTGAGCTCCATGAAATTATGTAAAGGTATTCTAGAGAGCATTGACTTTTACTTTAACATTCTAATTATCCTCAAAATTATTAGTGGACCTGTGAATCAAGGAAGTATGTCAGTATCCTTTGGGACAGTGTGTACCTTTCATGTAGCCTCTTTCCTGTTTGAGGATACTGTTTACTGATGCACCTTTAGGCATTTATGTGTTTTGAATTGTTTTTTTAATAGTGATAAGTATGTATCTATTGCAAACAGCACAGATTTATGAGATGGTTGCCAGGATTCAGGGCTTATAGTCTGTGGCCATTTGAAATGAGACAGTTAATTATAATTTAGTGGATTTGCATCAGAGACACTGGCCTTATTGACACCATGCTCTTCCTAGCTAAACAGTTATTTCTTTTGCTAGGGGGGAGCCAAAGACATGGTATGGTGTGCCGTCTCATGCTGCAGAACAACTGGAGGAGGTGATGAGGGAGCTGGCCCCTGAGTTGTTTGAATCTCAGCCTGATCTTCTACATCAGTTAGTCACCATCATGAACCCCAATGTGCTAATGGAGCATGGTGTGCCTGTGAGTCTTTTTGTGTCTCCTTTCAGTATTTTAAATTTAAAGTTATTTTATCTTTCGATTAGATAGAGTCTCAATAAATGCCTTGTTTTGTAACTGGCGGTAAAAATTCATGTCATCTAGCGAAATTAGAATTTACACTCTGAAGGGACAACATCTATTTGATTAAGAAAGGGATGTTTTAAAGTATAAATTGTACTTTATATATAGATATCTTTTAAAATAACATTTTGCTTTCAGTAAACCATTATATCTTGTTTTAATAAAAATCTTATATTCTTTATTATCCCTATTTAGCAAAAGTCCTAATAACTAATGTTTATTCTTTAGGAAATCATACATATTTTATATAAAGATTTCACTGCCTTTTTCTGCATGAGATGACAAAGTAAATGTACATGAATACCTTTTCTACTTTTCAACTTAGTTTTGAAAATGGTTATTAAATTTAAGCTACTAACACATGATAAGGTATAAACTTGCTAAGGTTATTAACATACAGTCAGTCAACATAACCTTAATGAGACTAGATTAGTGGAAGTGTTACTTGTCTTTATAGAGTGAATTTATGCTAGAATATGAGATTTTTCAAAAGATACATAGTATTATAAAACAAAGTGAGATTTCTGAAAACTGATTTGGGGATATTTTCATAATACATATGAGCTAATCAATTAGTCTGTTTCCAAAAAATTATTCAAGAACAGGAGGAAGTTCCATCTATTACCTCTATTTACAATACAATTGAAGAGGGAAGGGGGCAGGGGAAAGTGGTGGTGGGAAGGTGGAGACAAATGTATTTGAACAAAAAATAAAAATTTTAAAAAACAACAAAAAACAAACAATACAAGAATAAGAGGAATTAAATTCTTTTAATTGTAAAAATTCTATAAAGTTTTAAACTAGTAGCTCAGTGAGAGTAACACTTTCTCTTTGAGAATTTCTTTTAGGTGCTAATTTTTGTCATGAATTATTATAACTTGTTATCAGTGACTATTTTAAGAAGGTAAAATTCTGGTTGCTTCTTAAACCTGATACTATTTTCTGATGTGTGTAGGTTAATGCTTTGTTATTTTTGATTTTAGAAAGTGCCTCTGAAACTGACTGATCAAATTTGTTACCCTCTTTTTTTGTGTTTTTATTTTGTTTTGTATCACTGTTTTGAATTTACACTTAGGTGTACAGGACCAATCAGTGTGCTGGCGAGTTTGTCGTGACGTTTCCTCGTGCCTATCATTCTGGATTTAATCAGGGCTACAACTTCGCTGAAGCTGTGAACTTCTGTACTGCTGACTGGGTCTGTTCTATAGCAAGTAGCTGTTGTACGTCTACTAACATCCCTGGGAAATGCATCTTAGTTGCAGTATTTCCTTAGCTGAGGAGGGTAGGGTTCATGAGTATTTCAGTGAAGACTGGAGTGGCTGTAGTAATTTAGAAAGTTCAGTTAGAGTTCCCATTATGGTTTTTATTTGGAAGATTTTATAATTCTTTACTTTTTATTCATTCATTATTTTCCCCATTCTGCTTGAATTTTAAATGGTCAATTCATATTTTCTGATTCTTTTCTGAGAGAATATGATTCCTCTTGTCTTTGCTTTCTCTGAACACTTTTGGATTTTATGAAGACAACCAGATCTTCTTAATAAGAATCAATTATGCCATATTTTCAAATATCTCCCTCTGTGCTTTTATTTTAAAATACCCCTGTATTATTATTTTTTTAAGGACAATTTGGTGATTTTATTCTCCCTCCCATTTTATGTTTTCTATATTTCCTTTTTAAAAAAGTTTATTTTAAGGAGTAACTGTAATAAGATCTATATGGGCTGCACTTATGTGTAAATGATAATGCCAGTAGTTGCTATTTTGCTTTTGTATGAAGTAATTATCAAAAAAAATTCAGTTATAATTATGTCATATTCGTTGGGGAAAGATTGCAGGTTTTTAATACGCTCTGACTTTTTCTTTTATTAATGTTATTTTTCTGTCACCTCTCAACATTTTGGGGGGGGTATAGCCTTTAGCAATACCAGATCTTATGTTTTCTGCGGGCATCTTAATTCATTAAATTTCATGATTAACCATTTTTTGTTTCCTTGGTTAATGAATGAAATGATACAGTTGAACAATTTTATTTGACCTAGTACTTTTACTTCTTTCCTATTAGACTTAAGAAGCAGCAAGAGCAAGACCAAACTTAGGTCTTTGCCCTGAGTTTGAGCTCTATTTAAAAAACTCAGCTGACATTTATTGTTTATGATTTACTTGTTGCTTGGTCAGGTGTGGGGTAGGAAATAGAAATGATTCAGAGATGAGTTAGATTGTTTCTGCCTTTAATTTGCAATTATTGATATTTGACCTTGGGCACCTTTTTAAATTTCAGTGGGCCTACATTTTTTTAGATACTGATGCACTAAATAACCTCAAACAATTGAAATAATGTATGTAAAAGCTCTTGATACTCTTTAGAAGAAGGTAGTGATATAAAGGAAAAGTTATAGCAGCTTTATATCTGGAATAAAGTGATGGTACTAATTTTTAGAAGCCACAAATTGAATAAATCAGCTGTTTTATGTGGCTTCTTATATATTGTAATTAAGAATTGCAAATCCTAGTTTTGTTTTTCTCTTTCTTGCCCTTGTATTAAAGCTATATAAATGTTTGAAGAGTAAATATGTAAAAACTAAGAAATGAAAGTGTTGTATATCATTAATAGACAAATATTTGCTAATCATGTTCAGTATATATATATTTTCTTGGAAAAGTTTGTTTCTTTGGGAGAGTATGAAAATACTGCTTGATTCAGAGATAGTCTTGTACTTTTGAACTGTGATTCTTGTGATTCCTTTCTGAAAATGGAAGTGAATTCTAGATGGTTCTTAAATGTTCATTTTCTTATTTTTTTATTTTGCATTGCAGTTTTGAAGTACAAACAAAAACTCCTTTTAGCCACCCAAGTTTTTCAGCTAGAGTATAGGAAAGAAGTTGAGAGAGAATATATGTATATATGTGTGTATTGGATAGCTAGTATTATCATTTGGCTAAAACTAAAGCTTGACAGTTAAACAAATTTTCAGAATTCATCTTACAGAGTATATCTCATATTTATGAAGAGTAATTAATCATTTATCTCACTTAAAGAAAATTATGTAGTCTTACACTTTAATCTTGAATTCTCTGTAGACCAGACTAGTTGTTTTTAAAAGAATTCCTAGATGCAAAAGTCTAAGTCATCTTTTGCATTGGTCCTTATTAAAAAAATTAAGTCAGTCAGTGTGGATTGCTAAAAAAAAATAGTGCTCTCTTCCTTTTCTAGCTCTCTCCCTTCCTTCCCCTTTTTTCCCCTTTGGTACTATAACAGCTGTTCATTTTGTTCTGTGGAAACTTCAATGCTGAATATGTCCACTTAACTCTTCATAGCCTGATTTTCCTTTTCCTTTTTCTTATAATGGCAGTTTTATGTTAGCTTGGTCTAAAAGTATGCTGCCTTGTTTATACAAATAGAGGAACTCGTACTTCTTGATGTACATACACAGTGAGTAGAAAATCAGCAGCTTATGCCAGAAGCTTAGCAACTCAAAATTATGGGAATCAAAATTCTTGCTGGGCCACAAACGTTTAATACTTACAGTTACCTCATGAGTTCAAATGGAGTTTGTTATTCTGTCTTTTTTATAATAAAAGGGAGAGTCTGTAGAGTAAATAGTGGTTTTGTTCTGGAATATGTTATAGGCAAGTAATTTAATTTGAGAATCTTGTCTTGTTTCCAGTTGCCCATTGGACGTCAGTGTGTCAATCACTACCGCCGCCTAAGGCGCCATTGTGTCTTTTCACATGAGGAACTCATTTTCAAAATGGCAGCAGATCCAGAGTGCTTAGATGTGGGGCTGGCTGCCATGGTTTGCAAAGAATTGACTCTGATGACTGAAGAAGAGACACGATTAAGGGAGGCTGTGGTGCAAATGGTGAGTTTGCTGGGCACATTTCCTGTTTTTAATATTGCTTATGGAATATAAAAAAATTGAACCTATAAAAATTCATTTTATCTGATCTTTTTAGAAGTTAAACACAAAAAGCACTAGTCTGGAAAAGGCTTCATATTTTTATACTTGTCATTTTGGTTCTTTCAAGTTGAAAAAGTTTTAAGAATCTTGATGTCATCATCTCTAGGTTTTAAAAAATGGAGTCAGAATTTCTTGGGTATATATTTATTTTTAAAAATCTCCTACATATAGTATTATTTCTTTAAACAAGAAAGTTCAAATCTTTCTTTTCTCTCTAAGCTTTGTAATTGAATGAAAGTTATGTTTCTGGGGATTACAGACTGTCAGTCACCAGAAATGTAACTTGTAAATCTGTCTTTTATTTCCCCTTCTTATAAGTAATTTAATGAGTAGAAAGAATTGAATAACCAAGGTTGGGATTTTGAATGCTTAGAATAAGATAAACATTTATCATATGGAAATGGGAACTATATGAGAAAATCTGTCTTATCCTCGTTTTGGCCCCCTCTCCCTGACCCTCCTTTTATAGCTAGTGTCACTGGATTTGTGACATGCTTCCTTTTGCTCTTGCACAGCCTGCTTTCTCTACTTAGATAATCTGTTTCCATTTTTTAAACAGCTTTGTTCAGGTATAATTGATATACAATAAACAATATATGTTTGAAGTGTATAATTTGGTGTTTGTCTATGAACATACTCGTGACTTTGTCACAATCAAGATAATGAATTACCTTCAGAAGTTTCCTTATGCCCCTTTGTAATCCTTTCCTCTTGTCCCATCGCATCCCACTCATATCTCTTACAGAAAAACACTAATCTATTTTAGTTTGCCTTTTTTAAAACATCTTACTTAAAATGAATTACATAATTTATACTTTTTTATCTAATTTCTTTCACTTTGCATAAATACTTTGAGTTTTAGCCATGCTGTTACATGTATTAATAGTATATACCTTTTTATTGCCAAGAGTATTACATTGAGTGGACATACCACAATGTCTTTATCCATTCATTTGTGAATGGACATTTTAATTGTTTTTAGCCCTGGCCAGTGCAGCTCAGTTAGTTGGGTGTCATTCTGCAAAGCGAAAGACCACCAGTTTGATTCTTGGTCAGGGCACATGCTGAGTTGTGGGTTTGGTCCCAGTCCAGGTGCTGTGAGAGGCAACAAATTGATGTTTCTCTCTCACATCAATATTTCTCTCTTTCTCTTTCTCTTTCCCCTCTAAAAATAAAAAATAAATAAAACCTTTTAAATTGTTTTTGGTTTTTGCCTGTTATGAATGGAATTATTTTGAACATTTCGGTACAGATTTTTCTTTTAACATGATTTTATTTCTTGGGTAAATAAATATAGCAGTGGAATGGCTGGGTCATATGGTGTGTGTGTGTTTAATTTTGGTAAAAATAAAAACAACCAAACTATATTCCAAAGTGGTTGTATCATTTTACATTTCCACTGGCAGTATGAGAGTTTTGCTTATGCTACATTCTCATTGACACTTGGAATGGTTAGTCTTTTTTAACTTGTCACTAGGTTTGTAGTGGTATTGCATTGTAGTTTTAATTGTAATGACTAATGATTTTGAACATCTTCTTCAGTGCTTATTAGCTGTTTGTGTATCTTTGGGGGAAGAATCTGTTTAAATCTTTTGCCTAACCCTTTTTTTTTTTTCAATTACAGTTGACAATAGTATTTTATAATAATTTCAGGTGTATAGTATAGTGATTAGACATTATATAGTTTATGAAGTGATCCCCCTGATAGGTCTAGTACCCACCTGGCAACATACATAGTTATTACAAGATTATTGACTGTTTTCCCTATAGTCTATTTTACATCTTCATGATTATTTTACAACTGCCATTTTGTACTTCTTAATCCCTTTACCTTTTTGACCCAGCTATCCAATACCTCCCACCTATGCATCTATCAGTTTGTTTTTACCCAGCTTTTAAAAATTTGGTGGTTTTCTTACTGAATTTTGAGAGTTCTTTATATATTCTGGATTTAAATTCTTTATCAGATAAATGATTTGGAAGTATTTTCTTACAGTCTGGGCTTGTCTTATCTTATCAATACTTTCTTAATAGTATTTTTTTAAAGAGCAGAATTTTTTAATTTTTATGAAATTTAGTGTACCAATTTTTTCTTCTATGGCTTGTGCTTTCGGTTATATTTAAGATTTCTTTGCTTAATCCAAGATCACAAAGATTTTGTCCTATGTTTTCCGCAAGTGTTTTATTGTTTTAGTTCTTATAGTTAGGTTTATCATCCAGTTCAAGTTAATTTTTGTATGTGGAATGCGTGAGGTATAGATCAAAGCTTTTTGTCTTGTATCATATGTCATTTATAATTTCAAGTACTTAGGAGAACACTAACCAAGAATTTGAACCAGGAACACTTGGTAGGTGGGGAAAAAAACAACTTTGTATTGAAAATACCAGTATTTTAGAAAAACAAAATGTAATTTAATAGAATACCCTGTAGGCTAAAAGAAAAAAAGAACAACCAATAGTAAGTTGAGAAGATACTTTATTTTTGACATATCCCAGCTGGTAGATTGTAGTAGAAGCCTGTTGTCATCTGATATCAAAATTTTCCTGAAAATAACACTTTCACCTAGGAAAATTTGTATAATCACCAAATTAAGGAATTTCTATGTATTTCTAAATAATTTGTTTCAAATATGGGCTCTATATGTATTAACTTAGATTTGAAGAGTCTTGGAATAAATATAGGTTTAAACTGAGGAGAAATATAGTGGACTAACGATTTGGGACTGAAAAGTAAAACTGATCCAATTTCACTACTTTTCTTATAGGCATGAATGGGAATGAAATCTGTAAGCCAAAATATACACATTAGAAATGATATAAATATTACTAGTATAAAATATTTAAAGCTGGTAATTTTAAGAATTTGAGTTACCTTAGAAATAATAGTTGTTACTGAATGGTAAAATTCCTTTTTCTAGTTTAAATAACACATCATAAAAACAAGAAAGAATAAGATTGAAATGAATCTTTTTTTTTTTATTTCACTTTTTGAGATGTTAATGTATGACCTGAGTTGTTATTCTCACTTTCTACCTATATTCTTAAAAGTCTTGTTTTTCTTATACATTGAATATTTATTTATTTTATTAACCTTTTGTATTTTTTTTTAAGAGTACTTTAAGGTTCACAGCAAAATGAGGGGAAGGTACAGAGGTTTTCTGTATAACTCTTGCCCATATACATGGATAGCCTCCTACCTTATCAACATCCTTTACCGTACACTTATGTACATATGGGGGTGGGGTGGGTGTGTGTGTGTGTGTGTGTGTCTGTGTGTGTGTCTGTGTCTGTCTGTCTTTGTAATCAGTTTGTCAACATAGTGGGGGGGGACGGGGGGTGTGTGTGTGTGTCTTTTTAATCAGTGTGTGTATGTGTGTGTGTCTTTGTAATCAGTTTGTCAACATCCATACTTGAATTTTGATTGGGATTGCAATATATATATGTATTGCAATCCCAATCAAAATATATATATATACAAACTATATATATATTGCACTGTATATATTGAATATTTGCAGTAATAGTGCAATATATATATCTCTCCATCCTTTTTCAGATTGCCTTCTTTCACTTAGTAATATGCATTTAAGATTCCTCCATGTCTTTTCGTGACTTGATAGCTCACTTCTTTTTGGCACTGAATAAAATTTTGTTGTCTGGATATACCACAGTTTATTTAACCATTCACCTACTGAAGAGCATCTTGGTTACTTCCAAGTTTTGACAGTTATGAATAAAGTGAACTCTATAAACATCTGTATGTAAGTTTTAGTGTGGACATAATTTTTTAACTCCTTCAGGTAAATACCAAGGAGCATGATTGCTGGATTATATGGTGAGTATATTTTAAGTTTTGTAAGAATCTGCCAAACTGTATTACAAATTGGCTGTATGATTTTGCATTCCCACCAAGCAATGATTGAGAATTGCTGTTGCTCCACATCCTTTCCTGCATTTGGTATCCTCAGTGTTACGGATTTTGGCATTAATGTTTTACTTTTCATTTCCCTAATAGCATATGATATGGAGCATCTTTTTATATGATTCTTTGCTATCAGTATATCTTCTTTGGTGAGGTATCTGTTAAGATCTTTGGCCCAGAGTTTAATCAGGTTGTTTCAGTATTGAGTTTTAAGAGCTCTTTGTATGTTTAAAATAAGTCCTATTCAAATGTATTTTTTGCCATTATTTTCTCCCAGTCTGTGGTTTTGTCTTCCATTTTCTTGACATTGATTTTCACAGAGCAGAAGTTTTTAATTGTAAGGAAGTCCAGGTTACTGATTGTTTTTTCATGGATTGTGCTGTTGGTGTAGTGTCAATGTAAAGTCATTATTGGCATGCCCAAGATCATCTAGACTTTCTCCTGTTATCTTCTAGGAGTTTTGTAGTTTTGCCTTTTACATGTAGGTCTGTGATCTATTTTAAGCTGGCTTTTGTGAAGGGTGTAAGGTCTGTGTCCAGATTCATTTTTTTTGCATGTGGATGTGCAGTTGTTCAGCATCAGTTGTTGAAAAAATTCTTTCCTCCATTGTTTTGCCTTTACTTTTTCATGAAAGATCAGTTTTAATATATTTATATGGTCTGTTTTGTTCCACTGAGGATACTGAATGCTGATAAGAATGTGGAGCAACAGGAATTCTCAGTCATTGCTGATGGGAATGCAAAATGGTACGGCCAGTTTGTAAGACAGTTTGTCTTTACTTTTGTCAATACCACACTGCCTTGATTACTACTGTAACTTTATAGTAAGGCTAGAAGTCTGTAGTGTCAATCTTCTGGTTTTGTTCTTCTCCTTCAGTACTGAACTGGCTATTACGAGGCTTTTGCTTCTCCATATGAACTTTGTAATCAAATTTGTCAATATCCATAAAAAAACTTGCTTGGATTTTGATTGGGATTGC